AAAGGTGAAAGAGTTGGAGGGATGGGCGTTGGCGTTCAGCTGTAGAAGCTAAGACAGCTGACAGCGATGAGGACGGGGTCGAGGGCAACTCATCAACGGATGATGAGTTGTAGGATAAATGAAGGCACTGGAGTGATAGAACTTTGCAGTAGGCAAAGTGTTGGATTGGTGCCTTGGGTCTTGTCGCTGCCACTTCTCTTGTTGGGCTTGGGTCCTGGAACTGCAGGTTGCTGTGTTCTTTGTGCACCAACTGGCTTGGATTCTCGTAAATGCGAATTTACCCTCTCCTTGACCACGGACTGTTTCTGACGACGACGCTGCCTTTGGGACTTTGGAATCTTTATCTAGGACTTCTTCGACTTGGGACTGTTTTTGGATGATGGCTTCTCTTCACAGCTCTTTGTTTAACCATTATCTTTGAACTGTGTGATTTTGATGTGTTTTGAAGGAACTCTTGTTTAATCCGGATTTTTTGCCAGTTTAATCAGGTTTATTTTCTAAGTTTGTTTTTTAAGCTGCAAATTGCTGCAAAGTTTTGACCGGAGGCACTGAAGCACGTGTCTCTGAGTCCTGTTTACTTTGATTTAATAAACTGTTGTTTTAAATATTTCCCTGTGTCTGGCTCTTTAAGACACCTGGGTTCCAACACTAAGGCTATATAAAATACAGATCATCTGCTTTGAACTGGATTATGTGGCAGTGTAGACTCATATAAATGTCAAATTACGTTATGATTTTACTAATTAAGCACCAAAACAACAAATTGACAGGAAAAGCAGTTCAATACATGGTATCGTTATGTAGTAATTACTGTATTTACAAATTTAGCAGTAAAAGATCAGCAGTGTATTGAAACAGCTGTGGATCCGGGCAGGAGGCAGACTGCGTTGGATAATACAGAATGTTGGATGAGTGAGGGTTGAATAAGTGAGACTACTGTACTTTTAGTCTGCAGCTTTCATTTGCCCCGGCTAGTGTTAAGGAATCATGGAAATTGTAGTCCAACAACATATTGGAGAGGGGAGGGAGTGCAGCAGAGTTCATTTTCTGCTCAAGTCGCTCTCCCCTTTCCTTCATGGAGGGGCCCCCGGTGGCACAGTGGGTAAAACCGCTGAGCTGCTGAGCTTGTTGGCCGAAAGGTCGCAGGTTCAAATCAGGGAGCGGCGTGAGCTTCTGCTGTCAGCATCAGCTTCTGCTAACCTAGCAGTTCGAAAACATGCGAATGTGAGTAGATCAATAGGTACTGCTCCGGCGGGAAGATAACAGCGCACCATGTAGTCATGCTGGCCCCATGACCTTGGATGTGTCTATGGACAATGCCGGCTCTTCGGCTTAGAAATGGAGATGAGCACCAACCCCCAGAGTCGGACAGGACTGGACTTAATGTCAGGGGAAAACCTTTATTTTTTCCTTTCCTTCATGGAATGGAAAAAACTTAGGTGCAGCCACACAGTTTGACATCACTTTAACTGCCATGGCTCAATTCTATGGAATCTAGGATATGTACATTGATTCAGCACCATTACCTTTTGGCAAAGAAGGCTAAAGGCCTTTCAGAACTACATATCCCATGACACCATAACATTGACCGTTGGCAGTTAAAATTACATTAATTCTACAGTATAGATGCACTCTTAGTGGTAGGGACGGAAAAACAAGAATTCAGACTTGGGTTTATATCATTCTGCATTATACTCATGGTACATTTATTACCAAAGGTGTGCTGTTTCCTGATCTGTCTGCCTTAATCTGATTTAAACCAGAGGTTTCTAGTTTGCATGTTCAGCCCCTTCCACACAGCTGTATAAAATCCACATTGAACTGGATTATATGGCAATGTGGACTCAGATAACTCAGTTCAAAGCAGATAATATGTGTGGAAGGGCCCTTAGAAAAGCATCCTGGATGCTGAATTTGTAGTTTCTATGCAGCACACTGTAGTCTATTGTTTATACTGTGTAAATCAAATTTCACTTTAGCAGAAGATCACATTCAGTAAAAATCAAGCATCTTAGTTCTTCTTGCAGATGCTATAATTTAGAAGGGGAAAAAACCTGTCCCACTGGATGATGCTCTGAGTGAAGTGTCCCTTTTGGGAAGGTTCAAATGAAAGCGGGCTGCCTAGTTAAAGCTTCTTTCAGTTTGATAATCAAGGACTGTTCTACTGGTTATTCAGGCTCATTTATGATTATGAATATGAATTTCTTTCTACCTGCTTAGATGGGGTGGAAGTAAAGGCTGGAAAATTCTCAAGGGATTCTGAATTACAGGGCTGCACCTGTGTGTGCCAACCATTTGCCAAAACCTGCAGGATGTTATTAACCTGAATGCAAAGCAAAGCAGAAGGAAGCCTTCTGAGACTGAAACTGTCAGCTGTTTATAGGCATTACAATATGCTCTATTTCAGTTTATGAGAAGCTTAATCCTCAGCGTCTTCAAGCAGTACCAGCTGCTGATTTAGGTCTATCGAAGCTAATTGGACTGAAACAGTTTAAATCAGTTGGGTGGGTCTTATGTAGCCCCCACCCTTTGCTGTGGAGTTGCAATCCCCAGCATCCCTAGCCAATGGAGATTAATGTTAGGAGTTCCATTTGTTGTGTTTAGTGCCAAAGAACAATTGATCCCTCTATAGCACCAAACTTAAAGTCCAACTGCAGTGCGCTTGAAGATAAAATGACACAAGGGGCTTAGTAGGTTTCTACAAAATGAAAATTCCTTTACTCTTTACAGCAGAGTTTCAGCAGAGAAGAAAACAAACAGCTTTATCCAGATGCAGCAGAAAATACAGTCCTTTAGCATTCAAAATAAAATATAGCTTAATTCAGCAATTTAGGGCCCTTCCACACAGCCATATAACCCAGGGCAGGAAATCCCACAATATCTGGCAATGTGGACTCAGATAACCCAGTTCAGAGCAGATACAGTAGAGTCTCGCTTATCCAACCTTTGATCATCCAACGTTCTGCATTATCCAATGCAGTCTGCCTCCCACCTGGATCCAAAGCAGTTTCAATACATTGCAATGTTTTGGTGCTAAATTCGTAAATACAGTAATTACTGCATAACATTACTGTGTATTGAACTGATTTTTCTTTCAATTTGTTGTAAAAATGTTTTGGTGCTTAATTTGTAAAATCATAATATAATTTGACGTTTAATAGGCTTTTCCTTAATCCCTTCTTATAATCCAACATTTTTGCTTATCCAACGTTCTGTCGACCCATTTATGTGGGATAAGCGAGACCTCTACTTCATTGTGGGATTTTCTGCCTTGGGTAATATGGCTGTGTGGAAAGGCCCTTACTTACAAAACAAATGGTCCTTTCCAAAGAGCATTGTATCAACATCTGCAGGAGAAAAATAACAGAGCTCAGCACCCTCAACAACAGTTTGTAAAGAGCTCCAAATGGTATAATCAAGGTCCTTCCAGACAAGCCATATATCCCAGGATCTGATCCCAGGTTTTCTGTTTATCCCATATTAACTGGCAGTGTGGACTCATATAATCCAATTTAAAGCAGAAAACCCGGGATTAGATTCTGGGATTATAGGGCCTGTCTGGAAGGGCCCTCAAACCTCTGTAGTATTTATTTATCATACCAGAATCAAACCAAGGGTACAGTTGTAATGTATTTTTAAAAACACAAAGTTTAAATGACTTTTGACCAGAAGCTGGCCACTTGGAATATCTCTGGTCTGCATTATAATAGGTGGTCTGTGGTTTGCTCATCTCCACACTCTCATGTTGTGGACTCCACTTTGTGGCCCCATTTCTTAAGGCTGGCTCTGCATTTTGTGGTGCCAGAGCAAAGTCTGTTCAGCGCCTTCCAAGTTGCCCAGTTTTCCGTGTGCCCATGCTTGAGGTTCCAGATTTTTGCCTGCCACTTTTGGAGTCTCGCTTGCTGATGTGTTTCTACGAGTATCTCTGTAGATCTTAGAAAACTATTTCTTGATTTAAGGTGTTGGTGTGCTGGCTGAAATCCAAACAGAGGATATCAGTCACCTCTGTAGTTATGCCCTGTTGATTGCAGCAACAGAAATCCCTTGCATCTATTAACCCAAGCTCTCTACGTGGGGTTGCCCTTGAAGACGGCCCGGAAGCTTCAATTGGTCCAACGTGCGGCAGCCATGATACTAACAGGAGCGGGACACAGGGAGCATACAACCCCCTTGTTGTACCAGCTCCACTGGCTGCCGATTTGCTACCGGACTCAATTCAAGGTGCTGGCATTGGCCTATAAAGCCCTAAACGGTTCCGGCCCAAGATACCTATCCGACCACATCTCGACCTATGAGCCCACCAGGACTTTGAGATCTTCCGGGGAGGCCCTGCTCTCGATCCCACCTGCTTCATAAGCACGGCTGGCGGGGACGAGAGATAGGGCCTTCTCGATGGTGGCTCCTCGGCTGTGGAACACCCTTCCCGTGGACATTAGACTGGCACCTTCCCTGATGATATTCCGCCCGAAATTAAAGACTTGGTTGTTCAAGAAGGCATTCGAATAAGAAGTGCAATGATTGGTAATGACTATAGGAACGGAACAACGGAAAATGATATTGGATTGTGGTTTGGACGATAAGACAACGCTGAATGGTTTTCGTAGTAATGATGATGTTTTTGTATAATGCTGGATTGTGAATTGTTTTTATACTGTGTCTTGAATTTTGCTGTTCCTATGTTGTACACCGCTGTGAGTCGCCCCCGGGCTGAGAACAGCGGTATATAAGTAAAGTAAAGTAAAGTAAATAAATAAATAAATAAACCCATGCAACACACCTGCATGTGGGCCCTTTCTTTCTGTCTTAACCGTGGTGTTGATCCTTGCAAAATCTCACCCAGTTTTCTATATACCTTAATACCATTGAACAACATTTGGAGAGATGCATGATGCCACCCACCAGTTTAAATGAAGACCTCCATATCAGATTTGCTTCTTGTACTGCTTTAGTTTTACAATGAGACCTTCTTACATTTCTCACTCTTTCCTTTTCTCCCCCAGATTATTGACAAAGAAATCAACCCATTTGTGGACAAATGGGAAGAAGAGGGACAGTTTCCAGCGCACCAAGTTTTTAAATCTCTGGGGAAAGCCGGATTCCTTGGAGTGAACAAGCCAACTGGTAAGGAAAGAGAGCGTCTTAATCCTTATATTTAATTAAAAAGACACATTTAAAGTCAGAAATTTAGCAAGAGCTGTGTCTGAATGGGCCGTTGTGGTTCAAGGCTGGAGTGTGATGTGATCAATTCAGCCAATAAATTATTTTTGAAAGCTTTTTTACAGCTGCCCAGGGCCCTTCCACACAGCCCTATATTCCAGAATACCAAGGCAGAAAATCCCACAATATCTGTTTTGAACTGGGTTATCCGAGTCCACACTCAGGCCCCTTCCACACAGCTGAATAAAATCCCACATTTTCTGCTCTGAACTAGAATATATGGCAATGTGGATTCAGTTTGATATTCTGGAATAAAGAACTGTGTGGAAGGGGCCCCGGTCTCCTTTTTCCTTGTCTTCTATCGAACTAAAATATTTTCAGCAGCATCAGGGAGAATGATGAAGTGATTGGAAAAAAGCAGATTTTAATTGTCAGGTTGAACAGCATGTCTGCAATAACTGATAAAATAAAGCTTGGGAAAGGGCAAGATTGTGCTCTAACACACAAACAGGGTTCCCTTAGCTCAGTGTTGAGGTCCTGAAAAATTTGACAACACTAAAAGTTTTCTGAATGTCACATGTTGACTGTTTTAGACTTTTACATAAATCTGTACGCTGCAAAAGATGCTTCATAAAAAGGAAAACCAACCTCTCTAGCAAACCTTTCAAATGCTGATTTAGTATTGGTAAATGCTTAATTTTTATGCTCATCTTGTATACTATATACCTGGGGTCATATAAACATTTGTCGAACCAAAAGGGGTCTTGAGTGCAAAAATTTAAGAAGACCTGCTCTAATACACTTGGTATAACAATGCATTCCCTCCTGCAAGATAAACAGCAGCGGCTTCCAGAATCCTGTCATGAACATAAATGGAAAGCAGGAGAACGAGAAAAAGGATTAGAGCAGATAAGATAGCCATACCAGTTCCACTCAGTCTCCTTCCACACAGCTGAATAAAATTCCACATTGTGTGCTTTGAATTGGAATATATGACAGTGTGGGCTCAGATAACCCAGTTCAAAGCAGATATTGTGCCATTTTCTGCCTTAATATTCTGGGTTATAGGGCTGCATGGAAGGACCCTTAGTCTGCTAATGAAGCAGGTACAACTATCTCTCAATATTTGCCAGGGTTTGGAATGCAGGTACCTGAGAGAATCATTAAGTCCTTTGCATGACTCTATAGTCAATTACCACCAAATTGACCATTGAGTCACATTGGAGGATTTAGGGATTCCTAGAGAAGGGTTCTCTGATCACAGACTCACACTTGAAGTACTAGAAATCCCTAGAGAGAACCTTTTAATCAAATCTGCAGATGTGAAGGGCTATTTGTACCACATTTATTAGCTTGGTACGTTATGTAGTAATTACTGTATTTACGAATTTAGCACCAAAACAGACATTATTCCAGACTGGAGGCAGATTGCGTTGGATAATATCGAATGTTGGATGAGCGAAGATTGGATAAGCAAGACTCTATTGTACTCTGTGGTCATCCTCTGGTGAAAGTTGACCACAGAATCACAACTGTAAGACCTAGAAATTCCGAGAGAGACCCAAGTTAAACCTGTAAATGTGGAGGGCCTACTGCATCTTGTGAATTGTATTGCTAGAATATCCTTTCATACATGCCTTTTAAGACTTTTGTTCTGCATTGTTATATTGTAGCAATAATTTCCTGTGCTTATGGTGTCTTTTAAAGCAAGCATATACAGAAGTCTTTTCTGTCAAGTGGCAACTACTGCACCATATCGCAACTTTGTTATTACTCATTGTTTCTAGAGATGTAACATTTCTGAAAATTTTGAAGTCATGTGAGGAATCTTTTTTCTAGAAATGTTTTACTGCTGTATTGGGGGGAAATGCTACAGTAGCTCTCTTTCAGATGAAACATTTCTTTAAGAACATAAAATGCCTTACGTATCACTTGACTATGGGCATATTGTGCTATATGTAAACCGTCCCGAGACCCTTCGGGGAGATGGAGGTAGGGTACAAAAATAAATTTATATATTATACTTGCTCTACTCACCACGTGTTGCTGTGACCAACCTTCCCTCCCTTTTTCTCTCCTTCTTTCTTTCTCTCCATCCATCCTTCCCTCACTCATTCCTTCCTTCCCTTTTTTCTTTCCTTCTCTCCTTTCTTTCTTCTCTACCTCTTTCCTTTCCTCAATTCTCTCTGAAAATCCTATTCCAATTATATCCTACCTTGTTCACATCAGCATTATTTTTTAATTTTAATCTATTACATTTGGCCCGGCCATTGGTTTTAAATGCTTGTATGTCACTGTTTATTGTTTATTGCCTATTTTTTTGTTTATGTGATTTATATGAATTGTATTGGATTATTGTTTTATTGATGTTTTGTTTATTGATGTATTGTGGGCTTGGCCTCATATAAGCCGCACCGAGTCCCTTGGGGAGATGGTAGCGGGGTACAAATAAAATTATTATTATTATTATTATTATTATTATTATTATTATTATTATTATTATTATTATCATTATTATTATTATTATTCCTTCATGTCCCTTTTTCTTTCTCTCCTTTCTTCCTTCTCTACCTATTCTTGGACTGTAACTCCCAGCAGTTCTCCTGATTGATCTATCTACCTACTATCAATCTTTATCTAATCTATATATCTTATCTATCTGGAAGATTGCTGGGAGTTGCAGTCCAGGAATAGGAAATAAGAAATATGTACAGATTGGGAAGCTCTCAAAGAAATCCAAGGAGAAGCAAGCTTGCAGCTTGGAAGCAGTGCATTTGGAGCATCCTCCTCCCCTAAAGGGGATGCTGGGAACAGTTGTATTCGCACATGCGCTGTATCATCATTTAGATCTTTTGGGAGAGGTTTATGAGTGATGGTCACTCGTTGGTCCGTTAGGGGTGTAGTGTCCAATTTTGTGTCAATTTGTCCAGTGGTTTTAGAATTATGTTAATTCCACAAACAAATATTACACACACACATACATGTATGTATGTATGTATGTATCTATGTATGTATGATGTTTCTTGGTAAGTCAGAAGCAGTAGGAAAAGAGAGAGCATGCACTATTATGCACTTACTGAATGCTTGTGACAGGAGTCGATTCTTACAAAAATATTTCAATTTTAAGATAATAGGGTATACTACTGCTGATGCTGACTCATAGTTAATAGATTTGCTTTGCTGTAAGGATGTGTGTTCCTATCTGCTACATATTCCTATCATTGACTGTAAAAGCAGCCAACTTTGTTTGTAAACACTGAATGTTCCATGGGATTGCCTTGCAAAATCACATTAATCAACAAGCATTTGATATCTAGCCATTCATTATTATTGTCCCCTAAATATTTTAAATGAATGGTGAACATTATTGAAGAGGAAATGCATAATAAATTTCAAAACAAATTAAATCACGTCTATGCAGTCTCCAGAGTAAGCAATAAGCTTGGGGAAAAACTCTTCTCACAGAAATTGTTCAGTGCCAGGTTATTGTGGAGCAACACAAGCTTTTCATTATGGAAGCAGTATAAACAGAAGTCTAGGTTGGGCAGAGGTATAGTTTGATCCAATATGAAAAACTCCCAGCTACACCAATTCAAATATACAGAAGTGAAAGAATTGGAAGAATTCTCATGAGGCTCCAAGAAAATAATATTCATCTTTCAAAGTTTTAGGACTGATCTCCACAAACTGGAGATGAAAATCTATTTTTATAAGAAAAATAAGCTTCCATCCCACTCAGCTATGGTCCAAAGTACTGAAAAGGTGAGTTCTACATAGACTTGAACAGTATCAGATAGTCTTATTTTAAAACAGAACGTGAAACAACTTGTCCCATGTTTCTCACAGCTACCACAAGGCTAGTGGTTTAGGAAGAATTGTAGAAAATAACATTGGTATTTTGCTTACTGGTTTCCCCTTTCCCCTCATCATTTTGTTGTTAATATTGACATTTTCTATTCTTATTTGAAGAACCAGTATTCTGTAATGATTTGAACTATGATTGTGAGAGACCAGGTTTGAATCTATTTTCAGCCATGGAAATCCAGAGGAAAGCAGTGACAAACAGCTATGACACCCCTATGGCGGGGTTGCCATGTCACTGAACTTGAAGGCACAGAGCAACAGCAAATCCTTATTCTATGCTATCCTTTATCCATTCAGATGAAAGAGATCATGACTGCTAGTGGGGTGTTTCAAGCTTGTCTTCTTGTTAGACTGGTGGAAATTTCAAAATGTGTTATTTGGATGAATTGGCCAATTAGTTATCTCATTGTTTTTATAACATAGGCAACAGCAATTGTAGAATACAATAATCCAATTTTAGGGTTGGGATGTAGAAACTCAATGGGTATTGGGGGTATAGGATCACCATGACAATGGAGAAAATGCAAAGTAAAAAACAACTATTTTTAAACTGCCAAAGGCTCATCATAGTTTCACACTAGAGATTCTAGAAATGCTGAGTGGTGTTCTCTCTAGGAATCTTTAAGCCCCCTTTCCACACAGCTGAATAAAATCCCACTTTATCTGCTTTGAACTGGAACATATAGCAGTGTGGACTTAGATAACCCAGTTCAAAGCAGATATTGTGGGATTTTCTGCCTTGATATTCTGGGTTACATGGCTGTGTGGAAGGGCCTTTAGTCTTCTAGCATGATCCTGCAGAAGTTGAGCATAAAGTTTGCACTGGAGGACCTAGAGATTTCTATAGAGAAGATATTAATCAAAATTGTGAATAATTAAATCTACAATCATATCAGTTAATAAAGTCTTGATGCCCCAATTCAGCTTAACAGATCTGCCTTTTGCTACATATTCGCTTTTTGGAATAGTTTCTAGTAGTTTGGTATCAATCTTAAGTTGGGTGCCTTTTCCCCTCTTCTATTATGCATTGTTTCTGATACAGCTTTTGTGAGAAGATGAGAGAGCAGACCGAGTTTGAGGGCTGAATTCTAAGCAGAGTT